CTGCGTTGACAGCATAATTGGAGCCCTCTAAACTGGGGTTAGTATTCAATCAAGACAGACTCATTGATCTTGAGACTCACCATTGGTACAGGCACCAAACAGGAGCGGCACCTTGACAAAGTCGCCCCTCTCATAAAGCTTGGACGGATAATCAGGAAACATGTCGCCGTCGGTACAGGGAGCCCAGTAGAATGTGGCCGGGTAAGTTCGGTCAGCGAAAGGACCCTGCCTGTTGAACTGTTGCAGATCCTCGGAGCTCTTGCCGCGCAGGCAGGCCATCCTGTCCTTGGCGTCGAGGCAGTCGACCTTGGTGAGGATGTCTTCGTATTGGTACTCCAGGTCGTCGGGCGTGGGTTGGCCAGGCATGAAGGTGGACTCGGAGATGACGCCGGCAAAGAGGCCTTCGTCTTTTCCGCCGTAGGCGACGAGTTGGAGAGCAACAGATCCTGCTCCGGCGGACTGACCGTGAATCACAACATGGCCAGGATCACCTCCAAACTATTTTAGCAGTCAGTATGTAGTCCCAGTTCATGATCTGGATGAGTTTGTCTAACCTTGGAGATGTGCTCCTGGATCCACTTCAACACAAAGCGCTGGTCAAGCAAACCAGCATTAAGATCTCCATCTTCCTTGACATCTTTCCCGGCGAGGAAACCAAAAAGTCCGACACGGTAGTTGAAGGTGACAAAGATCATGTTGTTTTCCGAAGTCTCGATGAGCTGCGTACCGTTGGTGTAAGGGGCCGAGTCGAGGATGTAGCCTACATCAGGGGTGAGCCAAACCAGCCAACAAGCCGCGGATGAGATATCTTACCACCAGATTGAAAGTACACCATCACGGGGAGCTTCTTGTCGGGGTTGGAAGTAGCCGGGGTCCAGACGTTGACGAAGAGACAGTCTTCGTGGTATTGGCCGCCGAGACCCTGCTTCACACCAGGACAAACTTTGCCATACTGCAACAAGTTAGAACTAATCAACGCCTCATGAAACTCCGAGTTGGATTGAAAATGCTTACATCTTCGGCGCTCTGAATGCCCTCGGTAGATTCAGGGGCCACGGGAGCACGCCATCTCAGGTCGTCGATGGGAGCTTTAGCAAAGCGCATGCCGAGGAACACTGTAATGCCGTTTCCCAGTTCCCTTCCTCGATACTGTGAGTAGCCCAGATCAACGACACTATCCTCAATTGCATGATTTGTCCCGTTGTTGGTTGAGTCATTCGAGTCAGTAGAAGTCCCATCTTGGCTCTCTTGATTGCTTCCACCCCCACCACCACTCGACTTTTTCAGACCAAAGTAAAGTCCAAGAGTCAACGCCAATATCACCACGATGGCAGCGGCGACAATAGAAAGAATGAGTATCCACCTCTTCCGCTTGGGCTTGGTTACTGGTGGTTGTTCCGGTGGTGCTGCAGAGTGATCGGATGGGCGCCCAGACTCTTCAGAGGAAACCTCCGGCACCTTCGGGGTGACGACTGTGGTGGACATTCTTCCCGTCTACTAGCTGAGTGATCTGCAGCTTTTCCCTGGGTAGTAAGAGATCGGCTGCCTCTAAAAAAGAGGGCGAGCTGATAAGTGGCACGATGATCGGGATGTGGGCGTCAACAATCACCGAGTCTTGTATGAAACACAAGAGACGGAAGAGACCAGACTGAATGAAGCCATGAAAGGCAATTTACGTAGATTAAGAGAAAGAATCCTTCGAGGACAAGGCCTCCTGCACCTAGGGAAGATATGACATGCTTAAGAGGAACCAACAGCCCCTCACAGGGCCTGCTCGCTCTTCTCAGTCTCGCTCTCTCTTTTTGCTTGGCTTCCCAGGGCTGAATAGGTCTAGTAGCCAGGTCGGTCACCATGGAAAAGGCATCGCCACGCACAGAATCAGGCAGGGTTCCTTTGCAACGCCCTGCCATGCGCAGCTGGGCAAGGGTAACCGAGTTGTCTTGGCGGTTTAGACTGAAAGATCTGGGACCTGAGTGGTCAGAGGGGGTCACGTGCGCTGACCATTCAATCATCTGCTTGCCCTTGCAGCATTTGCCAAGACTGACATCAACCAACAGCTCGCAGGGGGTTTTGACTCTCGGCGCCAACCGCAAGGTCCCGGTCTTTTTGAACAACGTGGGAGGCGTTATTGGTTCCTTTGATGGCTTATCCGGCCGAATTCCCCTGCGGGTCCGAGTTCTAGACCTGACTACACTCGAAAGAGTCTTGAAGAGTCCGAAAGACAAGGGGGTTTTTCAACCAGGAACAAGGCGCTTCAGTCCCTAAGCGACATCCCCCCGTGCGGTAGGAACGGGAATGGGGCCATGAACAGCGCACATTATTATCCCTCAATGCCCTTGGCCCCTTGGCCCTTGGGCTAGACCCTGCATGATCCCTTCGGACTCTATCTTTCTTCCGAGGACCACCACTAAACGCGAATCCGGAACCGAGACCTTTCATCCCCTGCAAGGGTTTTTTTTTGTGCTTATCACCGACTGAACTCGCCGATCTCCCTTCCCTCGCAAGGCTGAAGAGGAGACTTGACTCTGCCTTGTGGTCCCCTATCATGATGCCAAGATCTGATAACATCAGGGAGAAAACTCGCTTCGCCTGAGGGTTTCAGGTTGACAATCTACAACGCGACCAACCCAACAACTCGGGTCTTGTTGGTTGCCATCACAATGTCTCGATATGGAAATCGCCGAATAAACTGGGCGGTTGGTGCTTCGAGCCCAACCACGCCCATCAGGTGACTCACTCATGACGCTATCTTACTTTTGACTGCCTCGGCTGCTTTCTCCCGCCAATGTTTAATGTTAAATCTGGCTGCCCCGGACTCAGCCCGGATCGCTTACAGCTTTCTTACCCGGATGACTGCCTCCGGATTGCAACACCCCGACGGAGCTCAAGTCCGCCTCCGTCCAGAGGCTCACTCTGATGCCCGATAGAACTCGGTGCCCCTGGCCCCCACGATGCCGTCACCGACATCCCTAACACCTCGGCCGGCGGGTGCTTCCCTGACGCCGAGGCGGAACAGGCACAGACACCGCTTGTCCAAACACCTCCGGATGTCTGTTGGTTGTTGTTCGTCCGCTATTGTCGACCCACGCCGGCCCCGCGACCGAGGCCATCGCCAATCATTCTTATAAGACCCTAGGCTTGGGACGTGATTCCCCGCCCTTTTGAGAGATGAGGTTGTTTCATGCGACCTTGTCTGTTGGTGCTCACTCCGAGCGTTTTCATTGCAACCGTAAGGTCAATAATCCTGTTTCAGCGCGGAATGTGGGAGCGAATCACGTATTGAAGAGTTGGTAGATAACCGCACTTGATGTAGAGCTGGTCGTGATAACAGGCAAGTGTATTCTCCTGCATGAAAGGTCATTTGAGGCGTCCTCGTCCTAGTATTAGGCCCATTGCACATGGCCAACAGGTTGTGCTTTAAATGAGGGCATAGAGAAGATCCTGCTCATGACATCACAAGAGATGAACGGTATCTTAGTAACAAGGCAATTTGCGATCTAGTAACATCGTCAGGGCAAGCAAGAAGGTGGCTCAAAGTGTTCAAGAGCAGTAGTCCGGACTAACGTGAGGCTCAAGGCCAACAACAGGCAAACCTAATCGTCAATGCATCAAGGAGCCAGAGCCAACCAACTCTAGGTCTGTGAAGCAGCGCTTTTCTTTGAAAAGCTGCGTGCCAACGTCCAACTGAGGGTAACAGATAAATATGAGCAGTCGAGGGCTCAGAAGATGCTCTCGCACGTGCTCAAGATAGGTGACAAGAATGCAGCCCCTGGGTCCATGTCCACACAAGGGGTTTCCCAACTACCGGTGGCTCACTTCCCGGAACTCAGACGAGCACAACGGTAACATCAAAGTATAGAACATGATCTATGGATCTTGGTTAATGTCACATTTCCTCGGTCCCGTATAAGTGTCAAGTATATATCCCTCAGTTCGTTGTTTCCTTGCACAACAGTGAAGATCTCTCTCATAAAAAGTTGATACAATGTCTTGGTCTTTTCTAGAACTAGCAGTTCCTTGGACCCATTTATGACGATGAGAGTAGAGCCAGTTGCTAGGACTCAAGCAAGATATTGGTCCCGATGGTAGTACACACGGGCCATGTTCACTCACGCCAAGTTCGAGAAGCGCCACGCGGAGGCGCCTCGCCCGTAATATGTTTCAAAGGACGTCAGGCGCCCTCTTCGGAGATATCTTGGGATTGAGGTATCACTAGAAATGGACTAGAAGTTGGCTCTCAGTAGCCTGGGGTTGTGGCGTATACTTGGACAAAGTGTCTCGAGTATCAATGAAGATGTGATTAGTGGTGGTGAAAGGAGTGCAACAGTGACAACAGCAATCATTGCTTGAACCGAGACAGTTTGAGACAGGGTTCGATGCAGCTACTCAAACATAGGCATTTTTTCTTCGGGGTGTGTTATCACTCAGTAGCTATCCAAAAGCGAGACTCCAGTAACAAAGTCTACAAGTCTGCGTGAGTCTTGGAACCTGGTGCGTGGGTCATAACTGCACTCCTCGACAACAGACAATGGACTCTCTTCACAGAACTATCTCCGTTTTCGGAGGAAATACTACAGTTCTAAACCCCGATGACCATCTTCATCTTGCAGCACGAGGGTGTGGGGAAGTTGGGGACTATCATGACGGTGGGAATATCGCCTAGTAAGAAGGCGGAGGCGGATGTCCGGCAGGATGAACAACAAAACCAACCCCAAGCTAAGATTCTCATTGAATTGAGGGCTTTTTGGCGTTATCATATCTTGAGAGAGGAAAATAGCACTCCGGACAGGTTTTGAGGTTTCATTGAAGATAAGCTGTCTGGTTCGCGACTGACAACCCGAGAAGCCAACAGGGTACTACCAGTTGCCATTGATAGTCGAGTTGAGTTTCTTTAAACGTGTCATTATCTCCTTTAACCTATGTCGACAGTATTTTTAGCAGGAACTCTTTACCTATACAGTTTCCTATAGTCTTGACATGATTCCGTTACCATGGCGTTGATGCTAGCCACAGGAAAGGACGTCCGATCAGCTGCACGTGCAAACTTACACACAACCTCAACCTCAGGACTAGCCCCGGGTCATGTCCAGGCGAATCTCATTGTTCTCCCGTCCCGGTATGCAGAAGATTTTCGGATGTTATGCGTCCGCAATCCCGTCCCGTGTCCGTTGCTGGCCGAATCAGCGGCTGTGGGTCGGTATGATGCCGTCAAGTCGTGGATCCAAGGCCTCGGGGGAGACGACATACTAGCCTCCGGGTTTGACTTGAGGACCGATGCCCCGCGGTATATGGTGTACAAGGACTCTCGATTGCAAAAGGCCAATTGCAACGACATCATGGCGGAGTGGACAGACGATCATGTGGCCTTTCTCATCGGCTGCAGTTACAGCTTCGAGGCAGAATTGACGGTAGCTGGTTTACCTCCTCGTCATGCTGTCCTTGGAAGAAACGTGCCCATGTACCGAACTACGGTACCTCTCTGTCCATCGGGAGTCTTTACAGGCGGTACCTATGTCGTGTCAATGCGGCCCTACAAGAAGCAAGACGTCAACCGCGTCAGGCGCATCACCAACAGACACAGCAACACACACGGCGAGCCCATCGCGTGGGGATGGGATGCAATAAAGACCTTGGGCATCAGCGACATTGACTCGCCAGAGTGGGGAGCACCACCGCTGACGATGGACGGACGACGGCTCAGCGAGGCTCAGGATGACGAGGTGCCCGTCTTCTGGGGATGTGGTGTGACTCCCCAAGAGGCGGTGATGAGGGCCAGACTGGCGGGTTTAGTCATGGCGCATGCGCCTGGACACATGCTAGTTCTGGACGCGACGAATGAGGACATTATTTGCCGGCGGCGGCTGTGAGTGAATAGCTGCGAGATGAGATTTGCCTAATTACAGATGATGCAAGATGGGTCATGCCAGGGTGAGGAAGAGACGATGTGCAGAGGGCAAAGAGTAGAGAGTAGAGGGTAGAGACGAGATTAAATAGGTCAGTGATCAAGTGTTTGTGAGAAAATAAAAGAAATTGAAACAAAATTAATGGACTAATCATATCTGTCGTGATAGATAGTAGTTGTGAGAGAGGTCAAGTCAAGTGACAGCGGAGGATTCCATATTTAGCGCGCATCTCGACTGCTACCCCAACCTAAATTTCCACCGCCAACCACGAGACGGAGACGACCGCAACCACAGCCCATCAGCTTCAGCCTCTTAAAAGCCCCCCTCGGCTATCGTCTATCCGTTTCGCCATTCTTGGTGCCTGTTAAAGATTTTCCTGTTTCCCATATATCGCCACCAAACCGCCAGAGTCCGACTTCGTCATCATGGAGGAGACTCCGATGGGTGAGTCCATCAAGATATCGTGAGTTCTACTCTCTCTCCACTCCCCTCTTGAGGGCTCCACTTCAGTGGCTCAAATGCGCTGATGCTCTTTGAAACCAGCTGCGAGCGATGTCGTCGTCGCAAGGTGCGTATGGCTCTGTCAACTTGTAATTCTCTCATATACTGACTCTCTCTCTCTTAGATCAAGTGTGACCGCAAGCGTCCATGCTCGCGTTGCGTCAAGGCGGGCACAGAGTGTATCCTCAGCGGAAGTGGAGAGAAGCAACGGTATGCGCCATCACATCAGGCCAGCGTTAGGAACAGCGGTCACTAAAGCTTCAAACCAAGGCCGATATCCAAGGGTTATGTCCAGGCTCTTGAGGGTCAGGTCGCCTCACTCGAGCTGCTAATTCGCAAGCTCGCAGTGGCCGACAGCACCGAGAGGGATGACATACTATCAGAATTGGCTCTATCTCCTCCAGCTTCACTCGATCTCTCGCACAAGTCACCTGGAGATCATCAAAAGTCAAACACTGACCCCAAGGTGGTTGCCGCGCAAGTGCGCTCCGGCCAGCTCCGGCGTCCGCGGTCGAGCCATGCCACTCAGTTCTTTGGCGGCACCAGCGCCTTTCACATTCACCTCTCGCAGGATGTTTCCCTGTCGTCTAATGATGGAACCTCTCACTCTGAAGCTCACTCGGCGCCTCCCATGCTCGGGTCCATGCCAAACACCATGACGGACAATAGCGTCACCAGCAGCCCTCGCGATCCTAGCTACGTCTATGCGCCTCACGACGAGACCTCGCAGACGTGCATGGCCGCATACTTCAAGTATCAGTATCAGTTTCACATGCTCGTCTACCGCGAGTACTTTTTGCGCGACTACGATGTGGGCTCGGGGAGGTATTACTCGGATGCCCTCCTCTTCGCCATCTGCTCTCTTGGCGCGATGCAGCTCGACGATTTCCGATCAGTCTCAGACATTTTTGCCAACCAGGCCCAACAGCTCATCTACGCAACTCTTGACAGTCCAGAACTCACATCCCTGCAGGCCCTGGCCCTATTAGGATATCGCGAGATTGGTGTAGGCCACACGTCAAAGGGCTGGCTCTTTGCCGGCATGGCTTTTCGACTTGCGCATGAGATGGGTCTCCATCTGGACCCGAATAACTGGGATGCCTCGATAGAAGGACCTTCGAACCGCGACACGGAGATTTTGAGACGAGTCTACTGGGCCATCTTCATCGCCGACAAGCAGCTGAGCCTCTACTTTGGAAGGCCTCCGGCTCTACATCCGAGCGAATCCGACGTGCGTAACACCATCAGGCTGCAGTATCCTCCAGATTGGGAAGGCCTCCTCGACACGTACATCTGCAAAGGAGCCTCGGCGACAGAGTTTGAGGACGGTGTTGCTCTCGTGGGATCCTTCATCTACCAGGCCGAACTATGCAAGATTGCCCACGTCATGATCACCGATCTCTTCGAGAACCGTCGGGGCAACGTGGACGCGACGGTGGCAGCCGCCAGGTCAAGGCAAATACACGTGTCGCTGACAAAGTGGCTATCGAGCCTCCCTGGCACCCTTCACTGGAACCAATGGACAGTGGGTGTAGTGCAACCCTCTGTGCTCCGCATGCAGTGGGTGGGCTCTCCTTGGCCGTGGGTTCCTATTTGCTAACAGAGTCTAGTATGCTCTTCCATACCATCATGATCATCCTTCACCGGCCACCTTCGCACATGTATGAGAAGCCAGGCATCGCCGAGAGCGAGGATGTCGAGATCTGCTACGAGTCTCTGCAGGCCATCCTCCGGCTTATGAGGACGTACTCGAGACACTACCGTTTCCGCTCATTACCCCTGGACTTTGTACAGACTCTGTCTACGGCGGCGGGCACAATCATGATGAAGCGCTTCTTCCAAGGCGCTTCGTGGGACGATTCAGACATTGCACGTTCACTTTCAACCATCATCGACGCCATGGAGGAGGTCCAACATACGTGGCCATGCATGGGCGAAATCAAGGACTACGTCGTGCGAGCGCGCAACGCACAGGTGGTGGTACCGCCCGAGGACCCCCTCAACGTGCCAGACCTCATGAACGGCCTGGAGCTCAGCCATAACGTCACGGCCGAGCTCATGGCCCAGTGGGGGGAGGAGCTGGGCACCCTCGTGACCGATGAGTTTCTGAGCATGCAGCTCCAGGGAAGCGAGCAGGGCATCATGGCGCCTTTCGACTTTAACCAGCCTCTGGGGCCACAGTAGTGACTAGACTGAGGTTGAGTAATTCAAGGAGTTGGTGGGGATTTTTCTTGTAAAGAGTGTTGTGTGATATGGGCAAACCATACGATTGAATAGACTATCGATATCACTGTTGCATTTAGACCACTGGGTGAATATTGACCAAGTGATGCAATCCTAGAGGAGTTTAACAATGGGAGTTACGTTGAGCGTACGTCCTTGGCTGCAACCGATCATCTTGGGTAAATTGGGAGCATAATACTGCTGTCATGACAGAACCCTGCCACTGAGGTTTGCCAAAGCTACTGGCAAGCTCAGACAAGCTGGTCTTGGATTGTTGTACGAAAAGCAACCAAGTTTCCCTAAATATGGCATCACGCTTCTCTGTTTCCTAATTAGGAGGTGTTCAGCTACGAGTTTCTTAGAGTCAATTATCTGGAACTAAACGACAACTCTCAACAGGGCATACATAACCCACAGGAGTCAATACGAAACTCTCTTCCCATCCTGCATTGAGCCCGACTCAGTTCGTTAGTCGCGGCCCACTCTCCCGCTCAAGAGCACAAACTCGGCAAGCCACCTCAACAACAGCTGATTGGCTTCCGTAGCTCAGTTGGTTAGAGCGTCGTACTAATACTTCATCAAAGTGTTAAGTAATGCGAAGGCCTCTGGTTCAAGCCCAGGCGGAAGCAAGTTGTTAAGATTCCTTCACACGGGCATCTTGGATTTCTTTTTAGAGACCTTATCTTACATTTTTGGCTTATGCTAGGTATCCGTAGTCTATACTATGCCCACGCAAGGAAAGCCCCCCCTTCATGGGCGAACTTGTTAAACTCGGGTTATCACTCAGGTTCAAGGCCTGGCGGGAGCATTGCTCTCTGTCGCCCATCGAAGAATACTTCAACCTCATAGCATACCCAGAGGGTAGATCAAGGCAACCCAGTCAAATAGATATAGTTTTACACAGTCAAACCATCATGCCCAATGCCTCTCTGCCACCCATCAGCTTCTATTTTTGCTTTTTTTGCTTTTTTTGAGCTAAGAATTGTGGTGTTTTGTTGTGGTGATACTTGGAGTTGAACAGTCGGGCAAATGTGCGTTGTTTGTTGCTGAAGCACGCAGAGGAGCAAGCCTCCAATGATGAGTGGATGGCTATGGGAAATTCTCCAAGTGGGCTGTGCACAAGGGGGTTGTCAGTTGATAGTCAGGAGCAATCCCTTTAACAACAAATTCACCTGGCAAGTACGGAGTAAGTTGGGCAGGTAAGACCATTTTGGTCGGTTGCTGACTATTTGCCTGAGGGTAACAAGTAGTTGTCTAGTTCCGTCATCGACAGCTTGACAAGCAAGGATAGCATCTACAAACCACACGTATCATACACGGGCTTCTTGATCAAAAGCATAGAGTCCACCTCCCAGGTCTCGTGTATAAATACCCCGACCTGTCCCCGCTTCCTTTCCCTACTCCCACTTCCTTTAACGACAAGATCAAGACGATGATGTGATCAACTGCGTGTTGACCTATCCCATCTCATTAAATACTAGCCGCCCGCTATTGCTTCAAGTATATATATTTATATTAGTGTTTCCTAACAACTACATTCGTCTCAGAGCACCTCCGCTAGGCGATGCGTTCAACGCCCGGTGTCCGCCTCCATGAGTTATCACATTGCATAACTCCTCATTTCTTCCAGAGGGACATTTTCTTCTGGGACTGAGATCTATCGAGGACGAGGATAGAATACTCCACTTTCAGCAATGAGAGCCACAAGCACTGACCTCGAATGGATTTGGCGGGACTAATCGTCTTAACCAACACTGTCGTTGAGGTTGTGGACTCTCGGTCACACATTTATATATCTGTACCGTCACAAACGAGACGTTTTGCGTACAGTGCCCTGGCTTCCAGGACCAAATGATGGTCCACTCGGCTTTCTGGATGGACTTGTCCTTCGCATGTCTCCCGCTGGGATAGAGACTCGATGATCCGGGACACTTCTCGCCAGTCGAATTCCACATGGAGGAAGGTTCAGACCCGTTACACTCTGGCCCTTTAGGAGGACTTCTTCAATGGTCTAAATTACGAGGGAGCCATTGGGCTATTGCGGTCGAATATGATACCTTTGCTACAGTAACGCCAGGTCAGAAGATCTGAGTTGACAACATCAATTTTCCTCATCTTCTGTACCAATTTGCACAGTATCAGCACCCAATTCTGCCAAAGAACAATATACTTGTTCCACTATCGGCCCATGTTCTCGGGCACCTGTCCGTTCTCAGACACGACGCCCATGGCGGGAACCTCCCACTTTACACACCTCTTCGCATGGATGAGGTAAAATGTCACTTGACTATATATACTGAGGGAGAAAGAGAGAGGCCATGTCTTGCTGGGTTGTTGAGAAATGTCATGAGACGATTGAAAAGGGTGCAAGTCCTCTTTACTTTGCCATTCTGGTTGGCAACCTCGAAATATCAGAGTTTCTCATCAACGCAGGGTCTTTGCTGAACACCCATTTGGACAACGAAACCACGGGCATCCTATGTCAGCAAGCTCACATCTCACACCTCTCAGAGACCCCTCGAACAGGGTTCCGATATCTCTAACATGGCGCTATACATTGACCTCCCGATTTGATAGACAGAGTCATGGCTCTGTAAGACGCACTTGAGTATATATATCCGACAACTATCACCCTTTCAGGCAAGCTTTGCCTTCCGCCGCTTTGCGATGAGCTAGTTATGGACTTTTCGTGTATAGCAGTGCATAGACTCTTCCCTAGCTTACTCTCCCATGGTGGGCCTCTAGTCGGTGGAAAGACAAAGAGGGCATTCGACGTATCCATGGAAACTACCATGGGAGCCCTACAGACGACTAAGGAACAAGGAGACCGCCCAGGACTTGCGACGGGTGTAACATTTGTCGCTGATCTAATCAAGCGGGAAAGGCAAGAAACGACCAACATGACCAGTGTCGGGCAGTCTCGTCTTGGATATTGAGAGCCCTCAAGTGGCAAAGAAATACATGGAGCCATTGTTGGCCTCGGCATGAACAGTACGAAACGTTCAACCCTTTCTGCGAGAGCTGTGTCCAGCTTGCCACAAAGTCGATGGACACAAGATTTGCGGGTTTCATGATCTCTCACGAGCTTGACTTGGCCAAAATCCTCAAGACACCGCCCTTATTATATAGATTTCAACATCACCATGAAACGACATGTGGGGATCTTTCACAATTTGACAAACACTTCACCAGTATGCCACTCTGATCCCCTATCCTTCCCGAGCATCCAGGATGTTCGACTTGTCCCTGGTGTACAGGCGTGTTCAGGCAACAATCTTCCTTTAGAACGTTTGATCGAGACCATGTTGCAGAGGGTGTGAGAGAGTTGGTGATCGACTCCTCGGTCCTCTCGTCCGCGATCTTCACATCATCCTTGAGGACAACTCACAAAGAAAGGTTGCTGGCTAGCCAAGAACCTGCGCAACCTTGAGTTTGCCCCCTGCGTCTGCACCTGGGATGAAACAGGGAACGGCAGCGTATGGACCTGAAGGAACGGACGTGGTTGTCACAGATCAAGTTCGCACGACCATTCCCTTATATTTTGGCTTCTCCTTGTTTCGATTACACTTATATATCAGCCATGACTTGGAAGTCCTCTCCGGGCGGAAGAAACGTAGAGAGGGCCGAGGAGTTTGGTCCTGAGTAAGTCCGAAGAGAGTACGAGTGGACGATCGACTACATCATCAACAGGGGGAAGAAGCTAGATACTCCCAACAACGTCCTCATCTGCCCCTGGAGAATCCCCATTATTTTTATTCTTATCTTCTGCCTCCGCAGGGGCCGCCACGTATATACACGAGAAGGTGGGGGGAGTACGAGGACAGCAACAATCCAGGGGAGGACTTTGTGCATGTTTTCGAACAAACTTCGATGACCCGGATTCGAGGCAGAGGGTTTTATCACATTTTAGGATATTGCTCCAACTGGGATCCAAACTTGGACCATCGGCTCGGTGGTGTTAAGGAAGATGGCCATGAGGAAGAATCCGGTCGTCTTCAAACCCAACAATCAACCTGCGAAATCTATATACCAGTGACTTGGCATGCCGTGGTCGAATCTTCACCGTGCATATCGAGTCTTAACGATGGACCCGACAACGAGCATGGAGACGGCATCTCAACAGCGTTCTACTCTTCTTTGGGTGGCTAGTCGCCCGATTGTGTTCCTTGTCTCATGCTCCTTTATAGAGAAGGGGGACATACATCCTTTGACGACTATGATCAAAAGATCCGATCTGTGTTTGAAGGCGACTATGGAACCTCATGGCAAAGAAACATGGTACAAGCATCGACATGGAAGACACCGACAAACTATATACGCGAGTATGTTTGGCATGTGACTTTGTGGTCGGAACTTGAGGAATCATTACAGATATAGAGAGAGCGGGAAACGGCTATCTGTACAAGATGAACTGGGCCACACTTAGCCCCCCCCCCTCAGCCCAACCGGACTGTGGTGTCACGCATTCCGCTATTCCTGGTCAAACGACTGGCGAGTAATCAAATTCCACGGCCGTGGACACTGATGTGGGAGTGATTTGACCTACCTCTATAATCCATCATCTGTGTCCGGTTGAAAATGCAGGGCAGGTGCATCATCAAGTCATGGGCCAGATACTCCATATCCCCTTGCAGAGAGGACCTATATATACATCAACCTCAGGCCATCAAACAACGCCTCAAAGTACCGAAACGTCAAACCCCATCAAATTTTCTTGGATTATATATCAGTACAAGTCTTGGCCAAGGTAAAATTGAGTCATAGATGGCCTCTCATTACTACGCTGGCACACGGTCGTGGTCACGCTCACCTCACGCTGGCCCGTCTGACGAAGACCTTATTGAGACTGCCTCACAAGTGGCGCGTTGATAAAATGCTCCAAAGTCCCTTCTCTTGTCGTATATATAATTGGAATAGCGGCACCTTACCTCAAACCTTGACATTTCGGACATTCATCCAGA